AGGGGAAGCTTCCTGGCTCAACAACTTCTGCGGTTCACTTTGGACATGTAGGCTGTAGTCGGGACACAGAAAATGCATCTGGAAAAGACATCCCAGCCGGTCCACCCCACAGGGGCTCTTACACTAGTTCATGAAGAGCTGGGGTGAGCACGCTGCATTCTGTTCACTCCTTTGAGAATAAAGCCTGCATTACCTCCTCTGATTTATATCGCCCTTTTTTATGGCCACTGGCAGAAAACTCAATGGCATTCTTGTATGCACTTCTGCAGTTAATGTTTGAAAAATGAAATAAAGAATTACTAAAATCGAGAAAGTGTAACTTCTTATCACCGCTTTATACCTCATGAGACTTAAATCTTTCAAATCTATCCATCTATCTATCCATCCATCCATCCCTCCACCCATATGTCTATATACAAAGGGTTTCATTCAATGGATTGGCTCAAGAATCATTTGAATGTGAATCGGCTTCACTGGTTTTGTTCACTAAACAGAATAAGTTCATCCGAGTCGTTGTTCATTGACTGGTCTTCATAGGTCACAAAGTATTTTTCGTGTGCAGTCTGCAAAGATGACTGGATAGAAATAAGTGTTTTCTTGCCATTAATCTTACATTCAATTCAGACAGCAAATTTGAGTAAAATATGACTTATTTTATTGTGTAGTTGTAGAGTATAGTGTTGGTGTAGATTTCGTAGTCCATGTGAGTTTGCACTGTGTTCATTTGATAGTTATACTGGAAATGACTACTAGTATCTGACTACTGGGTTTTAAAAATGTCAGAGGAACATAAAAAATGTAAGAAAAAATAAATAAGGCTAGAGTTACTTTTTTTAAACGACAGTACCCCACAGAGATTTGCCCATGAAGTTAATAACTCTTAACATTTTGAGAGTCTGCTTGTAAAGCATTTCTAATTTAATCTGCCACCTTCCTTCATGACCTCAACACCATTTTTTTGGTGTTTTGAGTGCAGAGCTAATCAGCTTCACTTCACAGACAGATGACTGGCTTGGTACGCAGAAATGTGAAAGTGGCTTGTGTTTGAAATGTGCTGAACTTCCTCCATGAGCTCATCTTATGGCCAGAATGTGGCAAAGTTAATATCCTCTTAATCTACTCTGAACCATACATCATCAATTTGCCATGCCTCTGTACGACAACTGAAAAGATGCATCTGTAATGTGCTCTGAAATGAATACTTTGTCTTGTGGTCCCTCTATTTTCGAAACACTGAAACTGGCACCCTTGCCGCATTAATTCATCTTTATTTGCCTGCCAATAGTGAAGTCAGACTGGTGTCTTTGATTAAGTTGTTTGCACTGACATGAAACGCATTTAAAATAAGTGTTACCTTTGCAGATGACTTATACCTTAATGTGAATGAATGAAACAGACGGGGTTTTCCATGTGGTTCCCTAATGAGCTGAGGAGTTCTTTGGAACAAGCTGTTTTAAACTCCCTTGGTCCTAAAAAAAAAGAAGAAGAAGGGAACGGATTGTATTTTGACAGAATCTTGATGAAGGATAGTGTTGTTTAGATGTAAGCATAAGAAAGCAATTTTGCCGACCTTTGGATTAAAGTAAAACGACAACTTGAACTTGTTCCCGCTTCTAGTTCTATATCTTGCTGAAAGATTGAGTCTGCCTGTCAGTAAAGTATGATTAATGAAGGTTATTAATGATGGCCGGTTTCTCATGCTTTTTGTGAAGATGTTTAGATAAAATGATTTAGTTTAGACGTTTCTGGGTCAGGAGATTTGTTTAACCGGCAAAACTGTTGTGATATGTCCAAACGTTTGAAATGACCCCGGACCTATTGGACTAATATGAGTAAGCCAATGTAATTAAGCATGTAATAACCATAGAGTGTGATTAGTGAGAGCTCAGTTACTGCTGTAAGTTCAGTTCCTCTTGCTCTACGGGTGTCTACAAAACAAGCTGTTGTTTTTGGCCACAACATGAGTATTTATCAGATGAATCGATACAGTCACATAGCAGAACATGTGTGAAATCTCTAATATCTGCCAATTTTAAGACAACCTATTATTATTTGAATAAACGCTCTCCATAGATGAGCTTATGGGATAGTTCACCCAAAAAATGTTTTTTGTCTATGAAAGTCAATGGGGTCTAAAACACAACAAAGTAAAAACATTATTGAAAATATGCTTCTTTTATGTTCCACAGAAGAAAGTCATACAATTTGAAACAACATGAGGGTGAACAAATGAGTGAGCAAATGAGTGAAGGAATTGTGTGCCTCTCTTTTGAGGAAAACTTTTAGCATTTTAGCATTGTGTGTTCATTAGTTTGTTCATTGCCCAAATACTGAGGTCACTAAAAACAGCTGGGTGGTCCACATGACATCACTGTATTGTCTTTTGCCTTATGTAATCACTGCATCTTTAATGTGGTCACTGCAGATGATAGAAGTTCGTAAACCCTAATCTTTGCCCCCAATTTCTATAAAATATCTTTTCCCCGTCTTGCCGCATATGGCAGGCTTGTGTTTCTGAAAGAGGAATTATAAAAAACATGAAATGGAAAATGTTTTCTTATCTGCTTGCTTACAGTATATGCAATATTCTCCCAAAACAGGATACAAGTATACTATTTTAAAAGATGTATTATAATTGTGAACTTTCCAAGTCATTTTGGGTCTTGAGAGGAAATGCACCACTCAGATGACTGTATTTTAATGTTCAAAAACAGCACTGGACCGCTCTATTCACCATGACCCATTAGTCTTCTGCACTTTACCCCTGCTGGAACAAGAACGACAACAGTAGACAAAATCATTTCAAAAACATACTGATGTGATGAAAGAGCTCTCATCGTTCTTTCTGCGCACTTATGACCTGCAACTATATTTTTAGTCCACTTTCCCAGTTTTGTATGACTATGGATTTTAGGAAATTGTTGTGCTGCAATATTTGACCTTCTCATTTGCACCATCCGTCACACAATTCACAGAGAAAAGGTGAAAATCCTGGTATACTGAACATTTGAACTAAACTCTTACCGACTTTAAACTTTTGAACAGTAGACGGTTTGTGTGTATTTATATAAAGTACCCAACAATTTTCATTATTATCCCTGTATATGAATACATATTTAAGTCACATCTAATAGAGATTTTCCCTACTGTGCTATTTTGTCTAGAAAGAGGAAACTATTTATGGCCAGCCTTGTTTAATAAATCTCAGCTACTTTATGTCTTGAATTTTATCACATTATTTATATATTTCTGTCATTATGGTTCTTTTTCGTAATGATGGACCTGGAAATAAGAGTGAGATGCAGTAATGCCTTAAAATGTATTTATATGAACAGTAAAGACAAGAGTAAAGACTAATTTAAACCGATCCCAAAACTTTGGCAGCTTTTGTTAGCTTTACCTCAGAAAATCTCTTTCAATACAAAAGTTATGAGAAAATCTCATACTGTAATATTGAAAAAAATAAATATTCTCCTTGTGCATTTTATGTGTTGTTATTGAATGATTTATAAAAATAGAAAGGTTAAATGGACCTTGACACAGTGTTGTTGTTCAAAACAGTAAAGAACACTGTGGTCCTGCAATACCTCAAGTGTTTTATTTTATTACCTACATTTTTCAATCATGCAAAATATCCCAAAAGCTTTCCAGAAACAGAGACTAAATAACTTCTTAGAAGCTTCCTCTGAGATCTCTCTCTTCCTCTCTCTCAGTTTTGTGCCTGTCCCTGGAACAAGAACTACATCTGATATCTCCTCAGGAGACACGCTGCTCTGCTTCTTCAACATGAAAATTACAGCAGAAGCATAAGCTTCATAATGCTGCCTGTGTGATTGGGTTTGCAGTGTACCGTGAGCGCAGCTGGATTTGTTTATAGACCTACTAAATAACGGTAACACAACATCCAAGCGTTAGAGAGCATCATTCATGTGCATCAAGTACAAGGATGACACATTTTTTCATGATGTTCTCTATGTCTAAAATCTTCTGCTTTCAAGAACCACAGACTCCCGCACATGAAAGATATCAGAATCAGCTTCAAATCCTCCACATGCGTGTATGTCGGTTAGCAAAAATGTGTTTTCCTGTTGCTATGTGGCCGGATCATTAGATTTAACACAGAACTTCCCCTTAATTATGCCCTAATTGCACAGTTGTGTCAGCTTGCATGCACACAAAAACAGCATCTGAAAGCAGTGAAATATGGGCACTATTTCAGAGACAAGAATTACTAGAGGACAGCATGCCGCCTTAATTCTACCAAGTATTGTTTTCCCCTAAATGCTGCAAAGAGAGCCTAGAGGATCACCAGATGGAAGACAGAAAATATTACCAAAAATGGACATGCTAGAACATTTGGAACGATTTCTAGCAGTCCATGCCTTTATTCACAAGAATGAATTAAACCACAAATTTAAATTTGGTTTATTTTATTAATTGTTAAAAATTCTTTAAAGATGCCATTTTTTTTTATGTTGCAGAGGCAACTTCTTAGCAGCATGGATGTATAGCATCATGCAAGAATATAGTTTTTGGTGCCTAATGCCATTGCAGAAATTAACTATGCAGTCAGCTGATTCATTTATTCTTGTGAGCAAAAGTGTCTGATAAAATGGAATTGCTGAGAAAATGCTAGTCCTTGGCCCATATGTAAAATGTATGCATTTGAATTGCATATAAAATTTCAATCCATAAACTAATATGGATCTAACAACCACATAAACTAATACACTTAATGAGATGCATTCTAAGCAATTTGAATACATGTATTTTAAAAATATGATTATTTTGCAAACTTTGTGCAGATGCAAATATGCAAATCTTACCCGTTTCATTTATGTATGACTGACAAATATGCATCACATTAAGTTTGTTACTTTCTTTATGTAATCCAAATGGATGGAAATGGTATATGCGATTCAAATACATAAATCATAATTTAAGGCCTAAATGTTTTGTGTGTGCACTCCATGTAGAAAACAGATTTGATTAGACTATAATGATGGTTTGTGTATATAATTTTATTGACAAAAAGTGATTTCATCAAATATTTGCCATGAAAATGCATATGAGTGAGAAACTATAAAAAACAACTGTTTGTTAGTTAATACAAACACGATATGATTAGCAGCAAGCCTGTAGTCGAATCTTGAATCTAACATCTGATGAAGTGCTTCATGTCGCGCAGTGAATGAAACGACTGTAAATGAAACAAGTTAATTGATTTAAAGCATTTACGTGAGAGGCATAACATATATTCCCTTATCAGCTCATTTAAAAAAAGAAAGACATTTATATTAAATCTCTCATTGGCATTTCCTGAATGGCGCTTCTCCTTATTGACTCTAAAGGCATACAAAAGAGGGTTCTGAGGGGATACCTCAAATATTGCTGGATCAATGCCAAGTTAGGGTGACTAGAAACTGGAGAGTTACTGAGATCACAATCCTGGTTTGTGACCATTGTATGAGAGCAAGGAAAGTCTGGGGTCACTGAAGACACGTTTAAAGCGATGGTTATTTTCATGCAGCCTCTGTAGTTTAATAAAAAGAAAAGTGAAACCACCTGATACTTCTGAAATGTTCAGGAATATTACATTACTGTTCCTCTTGTCACATTCACTTCATGTAGATAACGGCAAATGACGGAGCCTTACTGACATGAATGCAATTCGATAACATATGCAAAACATCTTTTTAAACCTCATTTGTAAAAAGTTGTCAATGTAAACAAATAAATAAGTATTTACAATTTGTCAGCAAGGGATACAATACAAAAGGAATGTTAACTAATAACCAGAAAAAAAGACAAATAAGTTACAGTAGATAATAGAAAATGTCTGAATATAATACATCTCCCCTAAACGATTGCAACAAACACAAAAAGCACAAAAATCTTCTCCATAAGAATGACTAGAAAGACATATAAAAGAATAAATGATATGAAATGAAAAACTATAAACCCTAAAACACTCAGAGCCTTGGGTTTATATTCAAGATGGCAGGACTCATTGTAGCATTACAAATATTATATGTGCAACAATTAACTGAGGATTCTAAAGCAATGCTGACCAAATATTTGTTTCCTTTCATACTTGTCCAGCGGAAGGTATATTCACCTCTTGAAGGAACCTCGATTGCATGTATGTCTCATTTTCTCGATTACATCGATCCGGTTTTGCTTTGATAAAAAAAAAAGTCCATGACAGGAGACAGAATATGTATTCCAATCACACTCAATTATCTGCAAAAAGAAAGACAATTCCCAATAATATGAGAAAAGAAAGATCACAGGATATTGGAAGGTTTTTTTTTTTTTTTCATCTGTAAAGGAAGTTATATTTGTTCACCTCTGCATTCATATTTGAGGTCAGAGAAGAAGACGGCCTCCTGGGAGAAAACGAATAACCCGAGTCTTCCTCCTGCAAACGTCTTGTCATAAATGGGACCTGAGTCTGCCATGATCTGCTTGCCTTCATATACAACAACCCTGGGGAAAATGTATTTTATAAACTTTATAAAATAATAATTTATAAATATAATATAAAATGTAGTGTGCTGCTGACTAAAACAAGATGCAGTGTGAGTCTCTACCTAATGAAGCCAGTCTTCGGTCTGTGGATGAGATGCCAGCGGTAGGCATTATAGTCTTTCCAACCGATATTCTTCGGGTCATGCCACAGAGTGCGCACCTAAATAATGGATTGTAAAGCCATTCATCATTTTAAGCACCAAGACCGACAGCACTACTTTGAAATGGGGATTTATTGGACAGTTTATTGTTAGTAATGGCACAAAAAGAGAAATCTGTCAGGACTAATAAAAGTGAAGAGAGCGTTCACCTGTTGCTTGGTGTTGCCTGTGTGCCATAATGCATTGCGTAGATTTTCCCCAGTGCCTGTGGTGGAGTTGACCACCTTGAGAGAGACGCCAGAGATGCCAAACGCCTTTGACGGCTTGTCTTCCCAGTACGTCTGCGTGATCTGTTTCCACATTACTACGTAAAAACGTCGGCTAGACTGGTATCCAAACACAAAACCTGCATAGTCATCATCCCTGTCTGTATTCACATAGAAGGTCCCGCTGAAATCCACAGCACTGAACTCATCAAAGCCTGTCGTTATTGTGCAAAAAGATCAGGATCCAAGATCAATATTGGAACGTTTTACCTTTTTATGTATGTAAATGTTTGCATTACAGCTCACTTACCCACTGCAATGCCAGGGTCGGAGTTGGCAGTCTGCACAAGCTCTTTGCCCTGGTTTCGGACCACCCAGTTGGGATCAATCTGCGTGGTTCCCTTGGGGTCGAGGTGAACCATTTGAAACTTCCGGAAGTCTGTGATACTGATGGCGCTGTTTTCCGGGCACGCGTCAAAGATATCCGGGACATTGTCATTATCAAAGTCATTCTCACAGGCGTCACCACGACCATCACCTGGGAGAAAATATAAGAACGTTAAACCAACCACTAAGCTGAAATGCTTGCCCTGCACCTGGGGAGTCAAAGGTTAAAACAGACAAATAATGGTAACACTTTAGTTTAGGGTCCAATTTTCACTAACTAGTTACTTATTAGCATGCATATTACTAGGATATTGGCTGTTTATTAATACTTATAAAGCTTACTTATAAATATGAATGCCTTATTCTGCATGACATTATTCTACATCCCTAATTCTACCTAATACCTAAATGTAACTACTACCTTACTAACTATTAATAAGCAGTAATTAGGAGTTTATTGAGGCAAAAGTCATAGTTAATAGTTGATTAGTTAATGGTAAGAATTGGACCCTAATCTAAAGTGTGACCCAAATAATTAAGTACAAACAAATCATTATGAGCTTATGAGACCATATGAGGCCATATACACTCCTTGTGCTAAGACTATAACCACTTCATAAAAAGCCACTGACCTAGAAAATTCAAATCTAAGCTTCAAAACATTCAATCATTTGATCTGCAAACTACTGGCATCACAGTGCAATCCTAGCCAAGAGGTACTTTTCCTTTTGGAAAACTTGAACAATGGCTTTTCCCAAAGCTTTTGGATTGTCTCTCTAAGCCAACAAAACCTCAAAGACCACGTAGACCGTGACAGCTTCAGCTAGCACTTGGAGTTCAGAGGGCCGCTGAAATGAACACCCTTTGGAATGCCAAGGCAAATTTCACCCCACTTAAAGTTCAAATCCACTTTATAAAAGAAAACCCAAGCAGTAAGCATGGCTTGACAACAGAGAACCTATTCAACCATTATACCATTTAGGCTTAACGTCAAGCTGCGTATATGTGTGTCTAAAATACCTCATAAAACACATAGAGACGCGGACTACTGCAACTCTTCGGCATGTCTGATGCCAGCGAGAAATTTACGCATTTCTTATCTCCCTGCTTTTCATGCCTTGTCTTTGATTTTCTTTTTTATGGGACAGATTCTTGGACGACCCTCATAGGAAATATGAACAACGTCCAAAACAACAGACGCCCGCATGACACAAAAATTTAATGCAGGATTGTATTTTGAGACAAACAGGTGCAAGGAGCCCGGAGGAAAATTCTGGACGTTGTTTATCGGTTACCTCCATTCTCTGATAATCTGCAGAACAAATGTTCACATAATGCTTCAGAGCCAATGCCATATATCAATAATTAGACACATTATATCCACACATTCCTTACTCTGGAGTGAAATGGTAAATAGCGGAAGCGAGATATGATATGAGTGTACAGTAAGGCTTGTTAGTGCAGCGGTGCAACATTTTTATGCAAATATATTTAAATGTTTTATATATATATATATTTCACTTTAATTTGATTTAGAATATTTTAGGAATTTTTTTATAAACCAGGATTTATTTATTTATTTTTTACCAACAATAACATTCAATGCAACTATTAAAGATAAAATAAAATACTTTTTCTGGCCAATAACTGACATGGTATTAATTTATCATGCTGATAAATAATTGATTATTATTTCAGTACTATAATCAGAGTCCAAAATAAGGTGTGTCTATTTTAATGTAGCATGTTCAACAGTGTTTTACCATCAGAGTCCAGTTGGTCCTTGTTGGGAACTAGTCTGCAGTTATCACGGTCATCAGGAATGCCATCGTTATCATCGTCAAAATCACAAGCATCTCCTTTCCCATCTCCGTCGTGGTCGGCTTGGTTAGCATTGGCTATGTATGGGCAGTTATCCATGTTATTCTGATGGCCATCTTCATCTATGTCCTGGTTGTTATCACACTGGTCTCCAATTAGATCATTATCTACATCCGTCTGCAAACACAAAATGGTAACATTATTTAAAAAAAATGAATAAAGATGTTTGAAAGCAGTCAGTCTCCATTTTTCTCCAGACCTGTTGTGGGTTGTGGACTAAAGGGCAGTTATCACACTGGTCTCCGACACCATCTATATCTGTGTCTTTCTGGTCTGTGTTGTAAATGAGAGGGCAGTTGTCTCGCTCGTTTAGAATCTCTATGAACAGAAATAAGAAAAGGACATGTGATTCACACATCTGTTGCAATCTAAAAAGAGTCGCGTGGATTCTAAAAGGCAGATCAAAGCTTTTTGTACCATCTCCATCCATATCAATAGAACAGGCGTCTCCTTCCCCATTGTTGTCAGTGTCGGTCTGAGCAGGGTTGTGTTCATACGGGCAGTTATCACAACGGTCTCCAACATCATCCTTGTCATAATCATACTGCCTGGGATTATACATCAGGGGGCAGTTGTCCTAGAAGAAATATATCATATAGACCTACATGTGTCAATATGAATAGTACGCACTCTCATATCTGTAACGTGAACACAAGTCTATAAGCATCACAAGTACTAAATCCGCCTCACCCTTTCATCCACAATTTCATCGTTATCATCATCTTTATCACAAGCATCTCCTTGCCCATCATTGTCAAAGTCCTCCTGACCAGAGTTGGGTAGAGTCGGGCAGTTGTCCTGCAGAGAATAAAGTTTAAAATTAATTGCAGAAATATATCAGTGAAAGCATAAGTAATGGATATTGATCTGGGAGAACATAATGACTCAATTCAAGAAAAGACTGCTAAAATCTGAATAAATCTGTCGCAACCTACATTTCCTACTCAGTGGGAAATTATTGACAGTATTTTTGATCAGATAAACACAGTCCCGATGAGCATAAGAGACTTACCAAAAATCTAACCGAACCCAAACCTTTGAATGGTGTGTATACATATATATATTTTTAGCTTATTATAAATAATATATATATAATGATGCTGTTTCATGGATTAATTCTGTAGATAAATTAACCATCATTCATTTAAGTTAATTTTGAGCTGTTACACTATTGCTTCGCTTACTGTATGTGTGCGATGTGAACAAGTCCATCTGACACTAATACTTACTCATATCAAATGAGCCACATCAATCACCCACATACAATACTAAGAATTTCAAGCTTCTTCTTCTATGAGGTCTCAATTTTTCATTCTGTGCATTACCAATATTTTCCTTTATTTGTTATGTGCACATATTTTATCCTTTATTGCTTTCTCGCTTGGCTCCCTTTGCTTCCCAGGCTTCAGATCTATGATGTCTTGCAGATTCTGGTCCTGGTTTTTCTCTACGGTGTATCATGACATAATCAAGCAATTATCCATCACAGGAGAAGAATGATGTAATTATTACTTTTGCTCTCCCTCCCTTTGGCTAAACATTTCACCACAAAGACATTTAAGGGATCTAAAATATACGATTCCAAAAGGCACAATAGACAGTAGTAAACACTGGGCCAAATCAAACCATTCCTCTAGTTCATGGTCACTGGCCCCCTGCCTGACTGATGCCATTGTCCTGTGGGGTTTATTAAGGTGAAACGATATTTCTTTCCATTTTATATTCCTTAGAAGCCATTTCATAGCAGTCAACAGCTAAACCTTAGGCTCTGGCTTGCATTAAATTAAACAAAAAACATTGAATCTGCTTTATTATTAGCATTGAACTCATCAGAAAGCATATTGTCTTCAATATATTTGAATGCTCTACACATTTTTGCTATATAATTGACATCTGGTCCCAAATGGAGGGCATGCCACTGGTTAATCATGAGTCATGTAATACCTTTTTGCAATGGTAGGTGGCATTTGCTCCACATGCAAGATCCTGGTTGGGCCATCCATCCAGATCAAAGTCCTCTCCACAGATGATTCCGTCTCCAGCATAACCAATACGGCACTCACACTTGTACATCGGGTTGCTAAAGTGACTAAGGAAGATGCATTCAGCATACTTGTGGCAACTGTGGCTGTTGTCCTTACAGGGGTTGTAGGGTTCACACACCTATTTATGAGGGGGGAAACATACTGAAACTTTGTCTATATTTAAACACATATGAGGCAGAACCTTGAGACTCTGAGGGTATCGGCTAGGAGGATGGACATAAATTAGCCGCCTGGTAAATGGTATGTGAGGTGATGTGTGGGACTGACCTGTTTGTTGATTTTAGCTGACTCCACTCCCATGCCGTAGGGCTGAGTCCCTTTGTAACGTGGGGGGCAGGGGAGACAGTGGAATCCAGGGTCTGTGTTCACACATTGCTGTTGGCCACCCACCTTATGACATAGATCTGAAACCATATCACACTGCACACCACAGAACGCAAAGGAAGTAAAGAGAGAGAGAGAGAGAGAGAGAGAGAGAGAGAGAGAGAGAGAGAGAGAGAGAGAGAGAGAGAGAGAGAGAGAGAGAGAGAGAGAGAGAGAGAGAGAGAGAGAGAGAGAGAGAGAGAGAGAGAGAGAGAGAGAGAGAGAGAGAGAGAGAGAGAGAGAGAGAGAGAGAGAGGATCAGTATTGTCAGATTATATATACATATTGCATGTATACACACTACGGGTTCTTGCCTGTGCAAAACTCATTGCTATGATATGGCATTGCTAAACTGTTGTGAGTGATTCTTAATGCATTGCTTTGGTCACATAACATTTCACATCACTTCAGTTGGTTATGTTAATTTGTCGCATTGACCAACAGACACCTTTTTGGTTTGAAAGTAACTTCTGTGTGAGCTGAACTTCATATATTGTTTGACTATGGGCTCTATGCACGGCGGTATTTCCGGTGAAGGTCTAAGGATGCTGGATTACTTCCGCCGATCGTAGAGTCCAATGCTATACCGAGAATTTATATTGGTTTTTATACTCTATTGCTATACTAAAGAAACGTTAGTCACAAAAACAGACAAAACAGACACTCCTCATTTTGTTTATGCTTCTGTGTTTATTATATTAAATAAACATAACTATATATAAAATTACATCTAAACGTATTAAAGTTTCGTTTCAAAGACGAGAGGACAGTAAATTTTGAAGACTCTGCCATAATACCGTTTTCCTCGGTTTTCCTCCGTTTTAAATCTCCCCAACCGGAAACGCACGAGCATCCTTGCGTCAAACGCGGAAGTTATGCGTGCATATAGCCCATTGACAATAGATCATGGCTGCAACATTTTTTTGGCTGCAAAATTCAACCAAAATTTAGCTTATTGCGAAACAACTTTTGGGTGGTTGCTAGAACATTGGTAGGCAGTTTTCATGTTAAAATAACTCAGCCCCTAGTCTCCATGATGTTCTGGTCTCTAGATATGGCTTTGGTTCCTTCCTCCATGTAAAATATATGTAATGTTTCAACAGTTTTCAGTAATTCTTCTCACATGTTGCCGGTACTCTGACCGGTACTCAATGTTCTCTCACTATTCCTGGCATTCATATGTAAATTGTGTGAGCTTATTTTGTCCATTAAATCGAAAGATCTGAAAAACCCTATACATTTACCCTCCCCTCGAAGAAATCAGGACAGAAGTGGTTGAAAGTGGACAAAAGAGATGGATTAAAATACCAGGTGTAAACGGGTATGTGTCTCCCTCGTTTACTTGTGATCCGATCCACCAAAACGCATCTTAATATTGGGTGTAGACAGGGCCTTTGTTTACCTCATTGACATCTTCACAAGAGGTTCCATTGCCACGGTAGCCATTCGGGCAGGGTCCACACTCCCAAGATCCATCAGAAGCTGTGCTACACTCAACCCCAGAGAAGCAAGGGTTCGAAAGACAGCCATCTGTGAAATCAACACAGTTCTTACTTACTTCTTTCTTACTGTACTTCATTTCTGTCTCTAATGCTAAGGAAAGAGATTTAAGGAGTCTGAAAAGTTAAGTGTCACCCCCCCTTTTTTTTTATAAACATGAAAATGCACATTTCGAACTTAAATGGTTGTAATTCAAGAATGCTTTGGAATATAGACGTAAGATTGGTCTTGTTTTAAAGAAGAGATTTAGCAGATTTTTGTAGAAGTGAAATAAATTGAGAAAGTGAAACAGAAAAAAAGTTATAGAAGTTTGAGTTTATGAAAATGTACAATGTAAAAAATTTAATTATTCTTATTTTATATAAAATATATATTTTCAAAACCTGGCCGACTCTAAAACTGCAAAAAATCAAAGCCAAAAATCTGAACAAGTTGTGTTTCAAATTTTAGGTTTATATCTCAAAAAATGAGCTTTCAGTAAGATTTTGTTTGGGCGCAGTACCAAACTTTTTCACTAGATGACAACCAGACTCCATTACTGCCCATATAAGGGCGCCTCCATTTCCATATGTGTTTTGAGTGATATGAACCATTATTTCCACAATTTTCATACAATTTATGAAGTAAACATCCTATTCAGAAGTAATATGAGAAGTTTGGCAGATTTTGATATGAATTCAACCTCTAAGGAACACATAAAAAGAACACGCATGTGCGTTATAGCTTCCTGCAACAAATGGTGAATCTATCATTTTTTTCTTTATATTAAAAAAAAAAATCAGACCTTTTTTCTAAAATAATTGAATGGATGCTATCTTTTGAACTCTTGGCATGAAAACAAACTGAGGTTTCTACCCTTCCTTCATGATTTTTCATGTTCATCACTATTTCAAAATAAAGGTCTAAACACGCCTTAGGAGTATGAAAATATTATTGTTGCAAATTGATAAATTACGGCTCCTCTGTAATTCATTTTGAAAATCAATCACCAAATATGGAAACTAGAGATTGTAAGCTTTCAAATGATATATAGTTTGTCAAGATTAGTTTAGGTTTAGTATAGGATATTACTGTTTTAAAAATGTAATGGATTTGGGCCCACCAGTGGGCCGGTGACACTTAAGGGGTTAAAGACAATATTTTCCTAAGTTTGTTTTTCTTACCAATTGGACACTCCTGTCGGTTGCATACTTCATTTTCAATGGAGTCTCCAAGACACTTCCTTCCTCCATGCTGCTGTTCGGGGCTGTTACACTCTCTAACACGACTCTTCAGACCCCCTCCACATGTAGCTGAACACAATGCCCAGGGAGACCATGGACCCCAGCCACCATCAACTAAATGGAGAAACAGGCACAACATGGAGTGATATTTCCATCTATAAGGCTACATTCATACTGCAGGTAAATATGGCCCAATTTATTGCTCACATTGCTCACTGTTTTTCTCATGTGAACTACACAAACCACATGGAATCTGATCTTTTCAATTCCAATTTGTGCCACTTCTATATCTGGTCCTAAATCCAATACAAGTCAGATTATTTGCAATGTGACTGCAGTCTGAACCGTCATACAGGAATTCATGCCACTTTTACGTCACTCTAGAGCAAAATTCGTCACAATTTTGCGCTCATGGGAATCACTTAAAAGATTTAACATACTCGAAGTAGACAGTTGCGAAAGGTAGTCAGTGATGTGTCATAAGTATTACAGTGACAGCTCATACAAGCAAAACACGAGGGCTTATACATAAACGCATCCTCATCTTTGTTTTTACATTTACAGACTTGGAGTGTGAACGTAGCCTTAGATATCCCACCTCAAAAGTTTAATTCACAAATCTGTCTGGACTAGTCACTCAGTGACCGGAGGGCATCTATAGCATTTGTTTTGTGACCTCAAATGGTTTCTTTACACAATGGTTTTTAAAGCGTTGCATGGTATTGCTCCAAAATATTTGATCATATCAAAATACAAGAAATATGAGATCTTCCAGTCAGATGATTCTTCATGTTCCTAAAACTAGATTAAAATCAAAGTTTGATAGGGCCTTCTCTGTGGCCGCTACACACTTATGGAACCCTCTTCCAATGCACATTAAAATCTTCCCCATCTGTGGATAGTTTGAAGTCATATCTTTTTAGTTGGGCTTTTAGATCTGATTAGAGTGAACAGGATTTCAGTTTTTCAGGAAAGCACTTTGGTCAACGGCAGTTGTTTTAAATGTGCTATAGAAATAAAATTTGTATTGCATTGTAAATGTTTATGTTATTGCATATTGTAAAGCACTAGGCTGTTTTTAATGTGACAAAAGTCCATCTGCTTGTTATTCAGGTTTGTTTTGTATTAAACTGGTTGTTATTTAGTTTTATTGTGCCATTGATCAGCTCATGCAATTTTAAGATATTGTAGTGCAGACTTCAAAGTACTGATATTGATGTAATAAAACTAACTAATAAATTTTAGACATGAATTCACTTGGTTTTTATTGTGGACCCCATGTTATGTTATGTAACACCTCCAAAATAACACAATCTCTGTCACATTCCCTGCTAATGTGGAAATAACACATAAATGCCCAGAATAAGCAGGCACAATGCACACAGCTCTCCCTCATATGTTATGGCTGTTTACTGAAAATAAAAGTTAGCCCAGATCCTATGCATTCAATAGCTCTGATCTCAGGGTGTCCCCAGGCATCTGCTGTGTCTCCGAGGTGAATCTCATTCATTGGCCATGTCATAAGCATCTTATCCGTAATCCTCTGATGAACAAATTGCCCAAACTGTGTAGCATCCCTGCTCTAATGACAATATAAGCCATGGAAAGACTGACATCATCCTCTCTATGTTTTCCAGTTAAGATCTGAACAGCAGGGTGGATGAGATGGTTTCTATATGATCTCAATTTGGGGGTTGAGCTTTAAATTTTGTAGGGCTGCTTAACAGCGTTAAATTTTTGAAATGCTGCTAACACATTTATTCAATTTGACATGCAATTTAATGATGGTCTATTAAATATGTGAACCCTATTTGTTTACTCACTCGGACAGGGGTCTGCGTGGCAGCTCTGTGTCTCTCGTCCGTCACCTTCACAGTCTTTGCCACCTCTTTGTGGAACAGGAGCATTGCAGTGACGGATACGTGTGATCAGTCCCTCCCCACATGTCACTGAGCAGGATGACCAGGGAGACCATAAGCTCCAGCCACCATCCTGACGAGCTGTGAGTGCAAAATAATGTTACTATAAGCGTGCTACAATGACCCAGTACAAGCTATCACACATACAGTGCCTGTATTCGTACCTCTGCGGTCACATTTTCCCAAACTGCACTTGCGTGTCTGAATCGAGGGTCCAGAACATGTATTGCTTGTGTCATCACAAGAGCGCCCCCTCTGTTGAGTGCCGCTCCCACACGTGACTGTGCACTGAGTCCACTCTGACCACGGAGACCAGCCGTCCTCACTGTCCATTGCTAGACAAAGATTTATACAACATCATAAGAAAATGTAAAAATGCAATCTACATGTTTTATGTGTAACGGACATAGGCCAGTAAGAGCTGTGTGTGTAAACCTCACTCCCCTGGCCTCAAGAGGCATGCTAGCGGTTGCGGTCTTTAGCGCCTCCCATGCCAGAAACCCTGGTTCGAGTCCCGGTTGGACCGAGTCAAATAGGACCGGTTACACATGATTTATAAGTCTATAAAAACTACCATTTAAATGTTTGTGGTCGGTAAGAAGTCTCTTATGCGCACCAAGACTATATTTATTTGATCACAAATACAGTAAATTGTAATATTGTGTATTATTATTACAATTTATTATAAGTGTTTCTATTTAATTACTTTTTCTGGAATTTATTCATGTGATGGCAAAGCTGAACAATTCTAATATGCTGATTTACTGCTTAAGGAACATTCCTTGTTATTATCAGTGTTGAAAACAGTTGTGCTGCTTAACATTTTTGTGGAAACGGTGATACATTTTTCAGGATTCATTGATAAATAGAAAGTTCAAAAGAACAGCATTTATATGAACTATACATCTTTTGTAACTTTAGAAATGTCTTGACTGTCACTTTTGATCAATTTAATGCATCCTTGTTGAATAAAAGAATACATTCTTTTAGAATACAAACTTTTGAATGGTAGTGTATAATTTGTATATATATTTTTTTACAATTATTTTATATTGCTGTTTATTTTATTCTTATTTTGTATAGTTTTATATTGTTTTATTTTAGTTAAAATAATTTCTATTTAATCGCTGTAGTCAAAAACATAAATAAATACTAGAAACAACTAGTGCTGGTAACTGTATGTTGTGTGTTTGTGTGTGCACTTACGAAGACACACTGGACAGCATTCGCCATCGATGAAGGATGGATTGGCACATGCCACAGGAGGACATGTGATCTGACGACAAACAACTTTTCCTTCTTGGCAGGTACATTTAGTGCAACTATCCACAATCCAGTCCTCTTTGTCCTCAAACATACGGCCATCTTGCCAACACATACTCTGCTCCGAAGGATTCTGCATCTTATTCAGTGCTTCCTTCATCGCTGTGTTTTCTTCTGTCTAAAAAAAAAAAAAAGTTTGAAATGAACTGAATCACACACCTGTCCATCTTCATACTGCAATGAGACGTAATTCAGGCTTTCCACACATTCAAACACAACAAGCAGTCACAATAACTATACATTTTCATGCATTGCAAATTTGAGATGTTTTCCAATAGAAACCGTCTAACACACAGTGATTTACTGAGCTCACATTCCTCCCACAGTTATGCGAGTATACCAAGTTATGGTCCAACTATTGCATTCATGTGCCCACAAACATAACTGCCCTCGCTGCAGTGAGCTCAGGTTGTTTTATAAACATCTGACAAAATCAGTTAACATCAACAATATGATATGCTATATCTGCATGTTAGATCTTAGAGGCAAGGGAAACTTCTCTTTTCTAAATGACAGCAGTTATAGGTGCCTAATCTTGTTTGGGCCTGATAAGGTGTAGCATAAGATTTGCATTCGGATCTGTCTCACCACTTTCTGCAGACCATCTATGAGGTTGCTAACGACAACTCTGAGACCCTTGAGCTCCTGGAAGAGGTTGGCCAGTTCTTCACAGGAACGTTCACACATCATTTCTGAGGAGCTGGTTGCTGGAACATCTGTATTCTGGACAATCACATTGGAGGCAATTGAAGATGGAACTTCCACCTCCTCTGCGCTCTCACTGACTACATTCGCCTCCACTGGGAAAAGACAGAAGAAATGCTAATTAGATTAAAATGAATTTTGATGTGCTGGTTCAAGGACAACAATTAGATAGAGACCACATGCTGTTTATACGCACTATAAAAGCACTAATACCACATTGTACTATATTCAAAGTCTGACAAATCGGTATTTTATGTCATTATACATTCTCAAATAATTTTTCAGTGGTTTATCTTCTCTTTACAAAAGACAGCTGCAGCGCGAAGAAGGTAGTGTTGTATATTACATAGTTACACTATACCATTCAAAAGTTTGGGGTAAGATTTTTTTCTGACAGTAAATACAATGTTACAAAATAATTATATTTCTTTTCTACTCATCAAAGTATCCTGAAAAAAATTTATCATGGTTTCCACACAAAAATGTAAGCAGCTCAACATCTGTCAACATTGACAAAAAAATATATTCTTGAGCTAAATCCGAATATTAGAATGATTCCTGAGGCATCATGTGACACTGAAAACTGGAGTAATGGCTGCTTTGCCATCACAGGAATAAATTACATTTAAAAATATATTAAAATAGAAAACGGTTATTTTAAACTGTTATAATATTTCCAACGTTATCTCACGACCAATTCGTACGAGTGATTAAAAGGTGGCTAATTTGTACTAATTCATACGACCTCACTCGTACGAATTTGTACGATTTGTCTAAACCCACGTGATGGGTAGCTTTAGGGTCGGGGTCAGGGGTAGGTCATTTGTACGAATTCATACGAATTTGGTAACTCGTAAAATATGTACGAATTAGCAAAAATCGTACGAATTTGTACGAGTGAGGTCGTATGAATTAGTACGAATTAGCCACCTCGTAAAATTCGTACGAATTGCCGTGGGATCGGGCTGATATTTCACAATATTACTCTTTTTACTGTATTTTTGGTCAAATAAATGCAGTCTTGGAGAGTTCAAGAGACTTCATACAAACGGCAGTGTTAAGAAAATTGCATTTGTTTTTGGTCAGCCAAAACTTCCAAACTGGTAGCTCTACCCTTAAATCACAGAATTGGTTAAGCCAGTGTTGTGTCGGGTTGATTGAAATGCTCAAACAAACACAGCTATGTTTTGATAGAGCCACAGCCCACAGAGCCACAGTGTTTACACTTTCCAAGGTAATCATGGCTTACTTATAGTTGTCTTAGCAAGGTAGTATTAGAGAAAGCATTTTAATGTTGAAAAATTTCACACTTCACTTTTAAGGCAAGTACAAGGACAGAGAATGCAGACATTTGGTATCTCACAGCGTGACGACTAAACCTGTTTGCAATAAAGCCTCTTTATACACGACACTCAGGCGCTTGCAGATTGTAATAGGAAGCCAAATTAAACCATTTCATGGGCTCCTGTGATGTTACACACATGTAACCGCGAGCAAACTATTTCTAGGCACACAGACCTATCTCAGCAATTCTAGATTGCCGTTTATAGAAGCACACTTTTTGAAGTTATTTTTAAGTAGTTCCAAAGGAACTTACAATATTAAAGTATGGGTGGGGCAGCAGTGTAAGTTACCCCAATGAACTATTATTAAAAAAAAGTCTAACATGAAACAGAATTTACTTTCTAGATTAGACTGTTGTAAATATCATGTTGATCCCTTTGATATTGCCAGATAACAAAGAAACGAAGATTAATACAGCAGCATTAAAGATAGCTGCATAATTTTTTACATGACACATCAGATGACACATCAGACTGTGTATTTGTTGAACATTCTCCAGAACTTCCTTATGTGAATATACACTCTTGTAAAGCAGGTTTATAAGTTTTCGCACTCCATTAGGGGTGAAGAGACACTAGGTGTTGCTTCTAGTGTAAAATCACAAACCGAAACTCTCAGACTCTTCCATTTAGATAGGGATGTCCTGAATTTAGGATATCTGGTGGGAAAGCTTTAGAGAATTGGAGAGTGATGGCTTTGCACTTAGATGTGAGTAAAGAGACACCAGGACTCTCTAAGTCATGAATGGTGTAATTATACACTTGTGTAAAGCAGTTGTATAAGTGTATAAGTGTCGCACTCCATTGAAGGGGTGAAAAAAGCTGAAGTTGTCAAAGGCAGACAGTGTATAAGTCGCACTTCATTAGGGGTGAAGAGACGTTGAAGCTGTCAAAGACAGACGGTGTAAAGTTTACACACTCCCTTAGGAGTGAAGAGACACTAGGAAAGCAGGTGTTGCTACTAGTGTAAAATCACAAAAGGACTCAGACTCTTCCATTCAGATAGGGACGCCCCGAATTTAGTAATTTGTATTCTCTGCTTTTATTGTTATTTTTATTTCTTATGGATATTTTATTTGCATCTGTTGTGATTATTTAAAAAAAATTTATGTAAAGCACTTTGAATTACCATTGTGTATGGTATGCTATATAAATAAACTTGCCTTTCCTTGAAGCCAGGACTGTTTTTCTATATCTGTAGAACTCATTTAATCCTCAAGTGGCTAAAAGTGTGCTCTCTCTCTCTCTCTCTCTCTCTCTCTCTCTCTCTCTCTCTCTCTCTCTCTCTCTCTCTCTCTCTCTCTCTCTCTCTCTCTCTCTCTCTCTCTCTCTCTCTCTCTCTCTCTCTCTCTCTCTCTCTCTCTCTCTCTCTCTGTGTTTGTGTCTGTGTGGCAGTGTGAACTTTAACGGTTCTTCTTTCATGGTCTTATGACCTACTGACCCATCTATCTGACCCAACACATGGTCCCATGCTTCTAACAAGGTAAATTCATTTAAATACAAGCTAAAGGTGAGATATATGCAATACATTTACAAAAACATACCAATTTTAAAACTAAATCAAAAGAGTTGATGTGCTCTGATCCATAAAGTCAGACCCGATTGATGGATGGCCTATTTAGACAAATACATAATTCCTTCAATCAGGCTGGTTGGTCGTAGTCTGAGTGAGTGTGCGCATGCAGGTCTTCACAGGTGTGAGCCCCTTCAAGTATGTTTATTTATAAAGCTAACTGTCAACAGTCCAAAACCTTCCCCTGAGCGAGGGATGTCAAAAGCCTAAGAACCCATTCTGAGACATCATTACTGAGCAAATCCCTTCCTGTCTGTGAGTTATATATTCAGTACTGCAGTTCCCATTAAACAGGAACTTCATCTTGATCCCACAAATCTTTTTTGGCTGGCTAAAAGTGTTAAAAGAATGTTAAGACTCACAAGCCCCTCCTACCTGGGTTTCCAAGATCACATCCCCTGCTCTCCAGAATGTCCTCAAGTGGGGTGTCAAAGATAAAACGTACATTCTGCAGCAAACCCTGAAAGAAACAACAGCTGCTGTCAGGCTTACTTTGCCAATTTCCAACCGTTCACATATATCTCCCAGGACTGGGAAGTTGGGGTGGATTTACAGAACACTGGAGGATCAGCTGTAATTTATTACTCACTTTCCAGCCACTTGCTTGGCTTGCTCTGCAACTACTAAATCTGACTAAATTGCGTTACAATAAGCACAAATGTATTAGTTAATATTCTTGATCTCCTGTAGATTATGTCCTAATGTATTCTACTTGCATGCACTTTACATTTCTCAATAATATGACATTAAACATACCCTAAAATGGCTTTCTCGGGTGGACCCTTTGGCCACAAACATATGGCCACCTGTGGCGCTCAGATGTTCATAGAAAGGTTCATCGAGAATGAAGCTATCAATGAGTCCACAACCAATGTACAAAGTTGCCGTCTCTCCATGCACATAGAGTGTTACATTCTTCCATTGCGAATCCGAGAGGTCTACATCCTCAAAAGAGATTATGTTGCGTGAGCCATCGGCCCACCAGTACACCAAATCTAGAGTGTTGGTTCGGCCATCCGAAACGACCTCAAACTGCCTGCGCTCGCCAGGGCCTTCCAGTGCAAGAATGGTGCCACGGGATGTGCGGTCCTGGCGCAGAGTGGCTGTCAGAATAAAGCCTTCATTGTTTTGTATTTGCAAAAGAAGTTGTTGTAGCGCTGAGGAACTGACAGAAGGGAGCTGGTCGAAACGGATGAAGCGGTATGCTGGAGCATCGCTGTCCAGACCCTTGAAAAGCTTCACACCGATAGTCTTGCGTGTGATCCCACTGGTTTCAAACAAGTCAAAAACGGTCTCATCTTCAAGTTGCGCATCTAAAAAGGGGTACATGTTTTGCTATTACTGTTAAACATGACAGGGTCATTTAAAATGATGGCAAAAAGGTGTTTAAACATGGTGTAAGAATTGAAATGATGACTGGTCACAGGACATAAACAAACAAATTCCCCCTTGTAGGTAAATTTGAACCTAATATGTCCAAAAGTTCATAGACAAGTTATTTGTCAACAACCTTGATCCAGACATGCCATCATTTTAAGTCTTACAGAGGACATCCTGGGCTATTCTGTGACACCATTTTTTGTTGTTGTTGTTGTAGCCAATTGTTGTATAGATAATAATGAAATAATTGTTATGCTAAAATGAAAGTAACAAAAAAACATAAAGAAAATGCAACATAACAATAATAATGCAACGATTTAAAGATATATTTGGGGTCTTACAATACACAAATTCATTACATTAAAAGGTAATACAGATTATTCAGATACAGAATATAGAAAAATCCTACAGAATTACCTTGAGATTTTACAGAGGTGAACAGAAGCAAAAGGGCCAAAATTCGGAGACATCTTCGGAGAATCATTCTTCTATGGATCACAATGGTAACCGAATATTAATTGTTCACGTTAATTAAATTACCTGCCCCACAGTAGTTCTGCTCGGCTGAAAATCGGGATACCTCACCTAGAATTAAAAACACATTATTAGACATACCCAAATCCAGTAAATTTATCGTCTATATATATATATATATATATATATATATATATATATATAGTCTATGTAAAAAGAGCACATACTTTTAAGAACCCCCATAAACTTCCCATAAAGCAGTAACAATAGAATTGACGGGCACCTCACTTACCGGAACCAAAGAAGAACTCCGTAAATTTTTTGCAAAAACGAACTAAAAAAAAAAGAAGAAAAAAAAAAAGTTTGAGTTCTATGCACAAGACGAAAATAACTGTCCGTCCTAATCCTCAGTCAGTTCCACAATGGTAAACCCACGATATGAATAAAAACTCATTGCGTAAAAACCTGGAGATGCCACGGGTCCCCAAGCGCAAAGTTTAAAATTCGCGCACGAACCGGGTTACACGGTTCACAGAGAAATGCAGTCAATCATGAGGTGTTACTGAATGTCTCTATGTTCCAAAACTGATGCGTGATAAATCCAGATGATGCCGGACTCACGGGCTCCCTCCTCATAACTGATCGCTCTTGAATTTTATCAAGAGGGGTGCGCATATTTGGTTTCAAAGGGGAGGGTTTGGGCTGGCTGGAGGCGGGTTGCACTGGGCTGGAGAGGTTTGGGTTGTTGCTGTGACAGCACGTCATGACAGTTTTCATTAGCTAATGCAGTTCTTAATCGCGCCTGGGGCTGTTGGGGTAGGGGTGAAGACCTAAATGTGAGCATTGGTATGTGAGAAAGCGATTTAAGTATCATGTGCCAGATACTTGACACCAAATAAATGCCTTTTTGGGTCATTATTTTCTACTATGCAGTGCATTATCAATCATGTCTCCAAACTCCAAAGTATATAATCAATAATAGTGTGAAATATTATTTAAATTGAAAATAGTTTTCTATGTGAATATAAATTGTAATTTATTTCTGTCGTGGCAAAGATTAATTTTCAGCATTATTACTCCAGTGTTCAGTGTCACATGATCCTGCTAATTTGCTGCTCAAGAAACCGTGATACATGTTTTTCAGGATTCTTACATGAAAAGAGTAAAAAAGCATTTATTTTAAGCAGGGCCGGCCCGAAGCATAAGCGAACTAAGCGGCTGCTTGGGGCCCCTTGGCCACCAGGGGCCCCCCCAATCGAGTCGAAAAACCGAAAAATATTTTTTTAGATGACTTAAACAAGTGACAAACATGAATGAATAAATATGAATGAATGAATGAATGAATGAATGAATGAATGAATATTTCGAGACAAGAGAATACTGATTACATGATCAATATTACCTGTCTACAACTGCTGCTGCGTCTGCCATACGTGCGTCATGCGCATAATCTAGACACCTCGCGCATAGACAATTCGTGCGCAACTGCGTAAAGTCACGGTAATGTTAAGCCATGTAACAAAAAAGGACGTATCCCTCTGGTCCCGAAAATAGAAAGAAGGAAAGGCCAGAGGAGGAGAAAAAAAGAGCAAGATAAAACTATATTTGCATGATTATTTACGGTATGTTTTGTGCAGACCATTCTACGGCAAGCCCCGAGGGGAAAAATACATTGCATGGGCCTACGCACATACAACGAGCGCCAGTACATCATCACCGGTATTATAGTAACAGACTTTGTTGGATTCTGTCATGTAAAATCCAACCAAGTCTGTTACAATAATAATCACAAAAAAAACTTACAATGTTTTGAGACAGTTGAGAAATAATAATAATTTTTACAGTTTTCAACAATAATTGTCATTGTTGCACCCTCTTATTATGTTGATTTCTCAGTTTTGTCATTATTTCAGCAAATCAATTATTTGATATGTTTTGAGACAGTTTGTTTTAAGAAGTTTCAAAGAGTTAGAAAAAGAGTAAAGTAAAAGTTAAAACTTTTTTATTTAAATATAGGCTATCTATTTTTTATTAAGTATTTATTTTGTATTAATAGGCTACATAACCTCACTGTATTAATTTATAATGTATCATTATTGCGTGATATTTGTGTCAATAATCGTCAAGCACATGTGACTCCGTGTAGTGGGAGGGGGCCCCCAAATCAAATTCTGCTTAGGGCCCCCAAAAGGCTCGGGCCGGCTCTGATTTTAAGTATAAATCTTTTGTAACATTATACATGTCTTACTAATGCATCCTTGTTGAAAAGTATTAATTTCTCTTTTTTTTTAAAAGAATTTCTTGGACCCCAAACTTTTCAAACAGTAGTGTGTGCGTTTACTGTATATATCCATTCTGTAACTCTATAGCCCAATATTAAAAGACAGACAGACAGACAGACAGACAGACAGACAGACAGGCAGGCAGACAGGCAGGCAGGCAGGCAGACAGACAGGCAGGCAGGCAGGCAGGCAGGCAGGCAGACAGGCAGGCAGACAGACAGGCAGGCAGGCAGGCAGGCAGGCAGACAGACAGACAGACAGACAGACAGACAGACAGACAGACAGACAGAGAGATAGATAGATAGATAGATAGATAGATAGATAGATAGATAGATAGATAGATAGATAGATAGATAGATAGATAGATAGATAGATAGATAGATAGATAGATAGATAGATAGATAGATAGATAGATAGATAGATAGATAGATAGATAGATAGATAGATAGATAGATAGATAGATAGATAGATAAGATGAATAGTTACAATGAACACAGCACAGTACAATGTGGCATTTACCTTTTAAGATGTATGACTTTAATTTTGACCTCTTCTATGAAAAGCATTGCATTCCTTTGATAACATTCCATATATTTTTGTTGAGTGGGAACATCTTACAAAAGCACATGAAGTGGACATACAGCAGATAAGACAGATTATGTACATGTTTACAACATGGTGAGAAAAAAAAGAGAGAGTGTTCTGGCAAAATGGCCTCAGCAAAGGCCTAAAAGGATGACATCATTATATATTTTACTACTATATGCTGGAAATGACAATGTATCCTTTTTATTTCTGAAATGAGAAAGTATCCCCATGAGTTCTGCCCTCTTTAACGTGCGTGATTAGAGTGAGATGAACAATAATTCTTCCTTCCTAGTGTCCATGGAATCTAAATTACAGTTCCAGATTTTTCAAACAGTTTCTAATGCTGTTTTGCCAAGATGTGCGTCTTATAATCAGCTCTTGAGAAAGGTTCGACGTTAATTACATAATGCACACAGAACAAGGATGCCTGCCAAAGCACATGCATCATCTGATCATGAGATTACCTTTTTATGTGTATAAGTTAAACAGTTTTGCTCTTTAAAGGCAACTGCAATTTTAAAAACATTCATAAAATTTTATAATGGCCTCTTTAAATTAATTATAGAACTATCACTTTGATGTAGAGGAAGGGCATGTCTTTGCAAATACATTTTCTGTTCAATAAACAAATGCTGATGACTCTGGGAGTACTTCATGCCTAACAATCATAAATTGGACAGAAATGACATTTAGACCACTAGACTGTCCCAATGGGGTACTGGGAAGCTTGCCGGATTGATTTTGGTCCAATGTGTTTCCATGTTCAAAGGAAATCTTCAAGAGAATCATCAATCTTTTCCATCAATACACATTATTTTTTGTTGCCTTTAGACCATCTTGTACAGATAATAAATGATGGTATTGTTAGAAAGATAAACACTTTCTGGGAAACTGTACTTTTAAACCGATAAGTGGAATATAGAAAGCATATTAAACTGATGGACATAACAAACTGCAAATACTGAAAAACATATCTCATGGTTTCTGTATTGATGTATCATTTAAAATAAATGATGAAAGTCTGGCAATATTATGTACCACTTTTGCTCAATATTCCCAAATAAACAATGCCTTAAACCATATTACACTTCATCTATTCAAAGTTATCATGCACACTTAAATAACTCCAGTTTCAGTGATCCCAGTATAGTCAAAATGTACAGCAAAGCCTCTGATCCTCCTCACGTCACAGAACCTAATGCCCACATTACATAATAAGCAGATAGCCTTTCCCTCTCTTCACCTCCCAAAGTATTCATATATCTGTCATTAAAATGGAACATTTAGCTAATGACTTCCAGACCGACATTGCACTCTATGAGCTAACAATGAGAGAATGCTAAACGAAGTCTGCAGAATTCCTATTTTATCTCAGCCATTTTACATCTTAGACCCTGGGGAAATCTGCTTATTATGTAATGTATTATTTGTATTGTTATAATATATTATTTTCTGTTTCTCTCACATTGTTACCAATTTATTTTTTATGTTCCTTTCCGCTTGGGCAATTTACACCGTTTCCAATCTTGTAAAAGTCAGAAATTGGTATGTTCAATTTTGTTTGAGTAATGCAAAGTGAAAGAAGCACCAAATATCATGGGTTATGTGAGATCAGTTCACAAATTCTTCTGAAACGTCAGTTTATGAATGATTAAACAACTTAATGTTTTTGTTTCCTCTGAAGAAAGAAAAGGTAGATTCAAGGCATCATCCATCCATTAGTGCACTACAGACTAATAAGCATTTAATTATTTTTAGTCTCCAGTTTCACAGTCTGATTTCCTTGTTCAAACTCTGTGACAGGCAACATAAATCAGGATTGGGTAATATTTCTTTGTCAGGAAAAGAGAGGTGATGTCATTGGATCAGTCATTAAGATAAATCTGATTTCCCTTGTGAAGCGGAAAAGTGTGGCCTGTGGTGGTTCATTTAGATTTAGACTTTTCTAAATTCTGCAGATTTGATGCTTAAAAACACTGCCACTGCAATTCAAATAGCCCAATGGGCTATATGCACGCATAACTTCCGCGTTTGATGCAAGGATGCTCTTGCGTTTCCGGTTGGGGAGATTTAAAGCGGAGGAAAACCGAGGAAAACGGGATTATGGCAGAGTCTTCAAAATTTACTGTCCTCTCGTCTTTGAAACGAAACTTTAATACGTTTAGATGTAATTTTATATATAGTTATGTTTATTTAAAATAATAAACAAAGAAGCATAACAAAATGAGGGGTGTCTGTTTT